TCCCTGGTACCAAAAAAAAAAAAAAAAAAAGATCTAAGGCAACCTAAATTACTTTTGAACAATAAATTTTTGAACAATACTACTGCTATACTGGAAGTGTTGGCTAACAAGTAACAAAATGATTTGCAAGTTTGGCTTTAAATGATGTCTGCCTAGAATTAACTCATGTTTTCCTTGAATACCTAGAATTTCAAAGTGAGTCACACTGCATGCAAGTTTTCTGACTTCTCCCATATCTTTACCATAGGTATTTCTTTTTTGTAGTGTGTTATTACATACACACCACAGGTTTGTACTTTGGAAGAGTGACACTCCTGGCAACAAACCAGAAATTTGAAAGAGTGAGAAAAATGAGAGAAATAAGGAGATACTTGTTTGTAGAAAATATGCACTTTTTTCTGGGCACCTAAGATATCTTCATTGATGATGTTCTTTGAGAAAGTGCGCACAGTCTGAATTGGCAGGTGTTTGTGGCCAGTGGCGAATGATCAGGATCTAGTCAACATGTTGCCTTTGTTCTTTCCCAAGACCCTTGAAACTTAGGTGATTTTAATTCAACAGATAAATATTAAAGTACCATTTTACTCTGAGATCATTAACTTCCTGGAACAGAGTCATCTTGAAGTAGAGGCAAATCTGGGCATGTTGAAACTCTGGTAGTTACTCCAGTGGGTGAGTGTTTATTTCAGTAGGTAGACTGGACATTTTCAAGAGCAGTAAACTGCATGAACAGTCACTAAGTACTGTGTGTTCTTTTTGTCCCTACCTCAGCCCATTACTTCTCCCTAGGTTGGCTTTCTTCAGTATTAGAAACCATGCACCAATTAAATTTTAATAAAGAAAGCTCTGATGCTGTTAAATGTGCCATGTCCTTCAGAAGGCTCTGTAACATGTGACCCCCTGTTCCAAAAAATGGTGACCTTTCTGGTTCTTCTCAGGAAAGAACTAGTCAATGTGCCGCATTTGTTTTGATCTTGATCTTTGGCCTAATTTCTCAGAGATGCTAATAATTGACAGAGGGGCTATTTGGCTCTGGATTACATCGTCACTTACATGCATACATCTTCCCATCACTAAAGTCCTTCGTGTCTCCTGAGGAAAATGAGTCAGATATTTAGTATGAAGAAATGTAGAGCTCTCTTCTGTCATTCTGTTACAACTCATCCAGCAGCAGGCGGTGAGTGTTGCTACCAAGGCATATTTTCACATCCACCAAAGGATACACTGAAGAAAACCTCACTTCACAGTTTGCAGGTAGCCTGTCCCACCCTTCTCATGACACTGAAGCAAACCATTGAATCATAAACTGTGAGAGCAAAAATGATTGTAGGATATTAAGGCATCCTCCTTCTTTGCAAATAAGAAAACGGAAGGACAGAGAGACTAATATAGTTGTCTATGATTGTGCAGTGGCTTGGAAACAAGATGTCCTCATGTCTAAAACACTGATTTGATGGTCACTGTGATACCGTAAGGTTTTATGGCTGGACCCATTTATTCTAGACACAAGAAAGCCATTTCCAATATTGTAGGATGCAAATATTCTCTTCTTTGCGTCTACTTGTGAAGTACCTAGACAGACACGACCAGCAGGACATGTCATTTATATCACCAGCCAACAGATGGTGAGAAAGTCGAGAGTATGCTGGGCAGGCAGGGCTTTTGGAGGTCTGAGTCCCAGATAGAGCTTTTCCTTTATTTGAGGGATTTGAGGCAAATCATTTAGCTATCAATAAAGCCCAAGTTCTAGTAGGTGAAGTCCCAGGGTTGAAGTTTTAATTCTGCCACTTGCTAGGCATGGAAACCTGAGCCAGTCCCTTGATTCTCTGAACCTCCTTTTTATTGTGTATAAAATGAAGCTAATAAGCACACACCTCAGAGGTCTGTTGTGGGGATTAAGTGAGAGAGCCCAAGATAAATGCTTAGAGTGTTGCCTAGCAATCTGAAGAATAAATGTTAACTGTCCTTAGCTACTTATCTACAAAATTAGGAGGTGGATTAGCTCCCTCTAAGGCCCTATCTCAACATGAATATTTTATAATTAGACAACTTGAGAAGTTTCTATTTTCCCCTTCCATTAAAAAGGTATATAGTTCTGTTAATTCATTATATTTCCACAAAATAGACACCACCACCACCACCACCCCCATTCAGCTCATTAGGAGTAACTCACTGGGCTTAGCACTAGAGCAGTTAAGCAATTTGGCCACTAGATGGTGATTGAACTCTTGTGACCCCTCTCGTGAGACTGTTTACATTGACGAATTATTATAAGTCTGAAATCATGTAAGATGTGAGACTGAAAAGTCAGAAGACCATCTAGCCTAATTTGAAGAGGTCAGTAAAGAAGTTGGCACATAGAATTGAAGTGAGTTGTTCAGGGTTATACTGTTCTTAGTTGTAGACTTCAGACAAAGCATTATGGTTCTAATTTAAGGGCAGTGATTTTTGGTTTTTCTTTACACTACAAGACCTGTGCTAGAAATACCATGTAGCACAGGCCTGTTTGAAACTCCTGGAGAACTAGTTTGTCATGTTTCTTGATGGTTTAATAAGAGTTTTAAATAGTCCCTCTGTTCCCTTTTTAAGGAGATTATATTTTCTCAGGCACCACACCACCTCCCCCACTGATACTAGAGTAATCTGTCTTCAGAAATTAATAACTAATAAGAAAGCTACAAATAATAGTGTTTTCTTAAGAGCCAAACCTACAGAGTTACTGGGATAGTTTTTATATGATCATATTTTCCCCACATCTCACACTCAATGTCCTTTCCCCTAGTGACACTAAGACATTAAAACTATTGAGGAATTCATACCAGGTATCTTCTTGGTATAGCTGTTCTTTTTACTCATGTAATGTTATGCAGGTAAATTACAAGTTGTAAGTAAGGTTTCTGTCTTCATCTTTTCCATTAGTATATAAAAAGAAAAGCTAATAGCTGACTCCAAAGGAAATCAGTAGCACCCAACACAAAACCTACTTTAATTTTCAGTATTTCCCAGACCTCTTTCTTATGAATACTGACATTTTCTTTAATCTCTAATATGCTGTTTAAAAGTGAGATAGGAAAACTTGGAACTTTGAGTCTAGAAAAAGCCTTCAAGATGACAATCTTTCCTCTTCAGACAAGTGGTGTCAGTTTCCCAAAGCCACAGAGTTAGTGACAGGACCAGCCTAAAATCTACATCTTCTAGCAATATTCTGTAGATGGACTCCTTTGCCATTTCTTGCTCATACAACTTTGGAACCCACTAAAGCCAGGGTCAGATGCTGGTCCACTGCAAGATGAAACCAGGGTATGCTCTAATATTCAGCTCTCATGGGTCTGTGCAAAATGAATGGGACTGTTTTTATCCTTGCTGCATGGATTTTGACATATCCAGGATGGCTAGATGGGATGCTTGGTTAGAATTCTGACAATACATTTTGCCTAACAGTGTTCCTGATAGTCTTTAAAATATACTGCATCAAGCATTTACATTTAATTAGCCTAGATCTACTTAATTTATGCTAGTAAAAGGTGCAGAACAGTTTCCTTTGTTGATGGAAAAGGTTTTACCAAAGTAAGAAGAAAGAGTGGAATTTGAATCCAGTTAATCACCTTCGGTTGACTGACCAGATGTATGTTTTCTGTCAGCACAGTGTCCAACAACTCTTTCTTTGATTGTTCGGGAGGCGGGGATGATTTGGGCATACTGAAGAAGGCTGGAAGCTCACTGCCAAGTTGGGTTGTGTTTTGCATGGCCCTTTGGCTTCCAGAAAGGTACAGAAGCAAAAAGCAACATCTATCCAGTACTGGAATTATTTGAGTTATTTTTGTTGTTTCTTCTCTCAGGTCCACAAAAGGTGGCTCCGATTCCTCCCTTTCTGAGCTGCGGCCAGCTCAATCAGGCAGAGCCTTCCTATTTCGAGTCCTCCGGGCAGCTCTCCCCCTTCAGCTTCTCCTGCTGCTCATCATCGGGCTGGCCTGCCTTGTACCGATGTCAGAAGAAGACTATAGTTGTGCCCTCTCCAACAACTTTGCCAGATCATTCCACCCCATGCTCAGATACACCAATGGTCCTCCTCCACTGTGAACCAAGCAGATGGCACCTGCCAAAGTGCTGGTAGCATGAGGAGGATGGGCCCAGAAGCAGTCCCAAACAATCAAAGAGGATCTTAATCTTGGCAGAAGCCCTCAGTGGCAGCTTTACCCCTCTTCCATATGCCTGAGAGCAAGTCACAGTTTCTGAGGTGGATGAAACACGATGAGAGGAGGAAAACAAACAGAAGATCTGGAAGAAATTTTGTTTGAGAGTCTGAGCCTAAAGAGATTGGATATGGACACCCAAAGTTTCCTGGACTTGTGAATTCTGGGCCTTTGGCCCATTTGACACATAGCCAAGGACTTGAGTAGACTGTCTGGGCAGCTTTCTCGTGGTGCTGCTCTGTCCACCAAGAAGCAACCCTCCCAAGCGCCATGTTAGTATCCTACAATCTACCAACCAATCAGTGCTGAGGAGATTTTAGAGCCTTGTAACATACAATTTTTAAGAGCTTATATGGCAGCTTTCTTTATACTTTTTTTTTTTTTCTTTTTGGGCATGATGTTCTAACCGCTTTAGAAACACAAGCTGTAAATCTAAAAGGCACTTTTTTTAAAGATATAAGGAAAAACTAGATGTAATAAAATCATGGAAGGCTTTATGTGAAAAAGAAGTTGAATGTTATAGTATAAAAATATTTATGTAATGTACAGTTTGCTAAAGCCAAGTTTTGTTTGTATTGATTTATTTGCATTTATTATAGATACTATAAAATATCTTGACTGTGCTTTTTCTTCCCCTAAAAAGTGACTCTAAGTTTCACTATTAAGCAGGCACTAATCCTAATAGTGCCAAATACAACCTAAGTTATATTTTCTGTGGAATAAATGAAGTCAAGACATATGTATATCTTAAAGGGAAAGGATGTTTTGAGATAGTATATATTTAGACATAGAAGAACCTGAAGGTTTCCTTGTTCCCTCTTCCTTCTAGAGCCAATCAGATCTTGTGAATTCCTGCTTCCTGAATTACTTCTTACTCTCTTCTGGTTTCCCATTTGCCAAGTGGATGGGCCTCCCGGGATCTCCTGCCTAAGACCCCTTCGCTAATCTGTCCCAAGGGTCTACAACAACAACCTGAATCTTCTTGAAGCTCTCTTTTCTTCACAGCCCTTTTTTGCTGCAAAGCTTTCTGGTTTTCTTGGGGGTTTTTTGTGTTTGTTTGTTTTTTACTACCAGTCAAAATATAATTTTAGTCTGTCATTCAAGTATAAGTACTTAAGATTTTATTTTCCCTCCTGACCTTGCCAGCTCATGAAATTATTGGATGCTCATGGCATTTTAATCTATCACTTAGCAATTTGAGGTGCCAGAGTTCAGCCTTCCATTTGAAATGGAAAGCAAAGTGACCAGATCACATATTTCTGCAGAGCAGGAATTGCAGGGATTATTGGCTACTGTCTCTTTAGGAATTAGGACAGTTTTCCATTTGCACTTTTATTCCCTCAATTTCCCTCATTACCTGTACCACCCTACCTTCCCAGAGCTATTCAAATTTACATTTCTTGCTCTTAATTCAAATATTTATACTAAACCAAGTTAGCTGGAGCTGACTTCCGTGGTTTCTGTGATGCACACAGACTGAGAACCATCTCAACAGCGGATCCTGAAATTTATGAGCTTTTGATTTCTGGGCTGACTTCAGACCTTCTTCAATCTATAGGGCAGGGCCTGGGCACTTCCACTTAAATAGGTTCCTGGGTGTTTTTAACTCTACTAACTGTTGAGAAGCAGTGCCCTACATTTTCTTAACTTCACCTTTTTATTCTCAACACACCTTCTCTCAGCCCTTAAAAGACTCAGTTCACCAGCCAGCTCCTCGCTGATCAATTTCTGGGTCACTTTTACATTGTCCTTAAGACTTCCCTGTACAGAGCTTTGCTCACATGGCATTTCTAGCTCATATGCTGTGCATCCTACTGTCAGGCTGTCCCTCTCAAAAATCCCCTGGAGTCTTCCTCAGGAAACTGTTATTTTATGGAAAAGACAAAGTTGTCCAATCTCCCTGCTTCTGGAGAGTGTGCATGCAGTTGAGATGGGCCTCTCTGCAGGACCCATCTCTCCCTGGCTTCCTTGTCACTCCAGGAACCCCGAGAAGTCCCCCATTCATAAGGAACACACCACATAGTCACACATCGCATCATCCTTGCAAAGCCAAGCACAGAGGGTCTTCAGAGGATTTCCTTTCCCTCTGACTGTTCACTGGCTTTGTAGTCATTCCTTATTATTGAAGAATCTGATGTTAAATATTGCAGAGAGGAGAATATTTTGAGCGATTTAGTGATTGAAACTGAACCCAGGCCACTGCTCATAATCAGCATATACTCTACCACTAGGTTATATCCCCAGACCCTGAAAAGAAAAAAATACCAAATTTAATAGGAAAACTCATATGGTTTCCTATGTGCCTTTCTAAAACTCTGTGAAACACCTGATGCAGTGCACAATATGCATTTCCATTAAAGTCTTTCAGACTTCACACTGGAAAGGGAAAGAAGTCGGGAGCCCCAGGGAAGGTGAGCACTGAAGCAATGGGGTCCAGGCTTTTCCAGATGCAACAGCTGGACCAGTTGCAGATGAGACCAGGACCTCTGTCCAGGGACCTCAAAACCTCAGGTGCCTTGGGGGAAGGGGGCACTAGGTCCACACCCAGCAGTTACCTAAGCAACAGAGAGAGGTACGCTCCTCAGAGGCTTCAAGGAAGTGACAGATATTTTAAAGAATAAAAAGACCCGAATGGCAGCTGGAGAGGCTCACATTTCTGGATGTCTCTGTAGTAAGGACTGCCAGGAGTCCTGCTGAGCCCTGGAGAGGGGAAATGATGTCACAAGAGAGGAACTGAGGAAGACCATGGAGAAAAAGAGCACAACTGAGCAAGGAGGCTGGAAAGAGAAGGGCTAAGAACACCTTGGGGTTGACATCTGCACAAGCAAACAGGAACTATTAGAAAAGGTGAACGAAGTCTGCAGAGCAAAGATGGAAAAACAAAGGCTTAGAATCTAAAAACACTGCAGTAAGAGATTCAGGTAGAAAAGAAAGGTTTTCAGGAAAACTACACCTGATGAGCAAGAATAAGGCCTTCAGGAAGATGGGGAGGCAGCAACTTCCCTTGTGTAAGTGAAAAGCAACACCTTCCAAGGCTCAGAGGGAAATTCTTCAAGCCAAAGGCTGAGATTTCCTATTAGAAAGCAGGTTGAGGGAGATTGATTTATAGCCCTCACCCTGAGACCAAATAGTATGAAATTATAGTTACAAAACTGTGTTGGCAAGCCATGTAAAAGATCATAAAGCAATGAACAATGGAGTGAGAGATTTATGCAAGTTGGTCATGGCCAGATAGGCAGGCCCCAGGAGGAGCAGGTTCGGGTGTGCCTGGGGCGGCTCAATGGTTGGGTTCTTTGCTTCATCCCACTGATCTGCTTTCACCATCACCAAACATCCACAGGAAGTTGCATATCAATTACAGTAGTCTCCAAGTGCATGCCAGATAGGTCCTAAAAGATCTGGGCAGAGCAATATCCTGTAAATGCCTGCTATGTGACTGGAACTGCTCCAGCCTCCCTTCCAGTCCAGTCCCAGCTAGGACTTCACAACTTCTTGTTAATTATCCATCAAAGCACTCCTAGTTGGGCCAGTGGTGTGCAGAATCCCTATCTTCTTCCACCACTCTGTCCAGAAAGGAGGAAGAAAGTGAAAGAGGAACCTGGAAGAGAACCCAATACAAACAGTATCTAATTTAGGAGAGGGAGGGGAGACGAGTCTACTAGATGTAGCTTTATTTTCTCAGAACAAATTGCCTCTCTTTTTAACTCCTTTGTCATCGGTTTGTGTTATAGCAGGATGCATTTTGGAAGATCATGACTGTTGCTCTGTGGAAACGGAGGTAGGTAGAGTGGTTTACAAGCTGAGGGGCAATTTTCAGCTTAGTCATACTCAGCACTGAGAGCCTAATTTGGGAGCAGAGATGTTTTGCTGAGCGTGGCCATTGTAATTTTAGATTTAATGATATGCTGTGATAACTGTGTCTGATCGTCATACCTAGAGCAACCCAGAGAGAATGAAACTGAACAAGAAGGATATTTACTCTTCATGTCCTGGCTTCTCACTATCTCTCCCTACCATCTGTACAATATCCACCAGGAGCCCATGGAGGATGAAGCAGTCTGCATTGTAGGGGGACCCTCATGCCAGTGAATAAGCAAAAAAAAAAAAAAACAGAGCTAACCAAGGGCTCCTGCAGCCTCTGCTGAGCAGCTACTTACAGTCAACAGGCAAAGGCATCAGAGAGTTGAGACTGGCAAAGAAACACAGGGCAAGGGGCTGCAGCACAGCTGAGCAAGAACGTTTAATCCAAAACTGAATAAGCCAAGTGGGACTGGGATGAAACTCATTAAAACATGGAGGTTACAGAAAAATGAATCACAGACTTTTTAGCCTGTTACCTAATACAGGTGTAAGAACAGAACTGAATCTGTAGCCAAAGTTGTATTAAAACAAAATCTCATGTAAGCTGTGCTTCAGATGTTGCATGTCATGCCAAATGTGGTCAGAAGAAACCTGACCTCTCAGCTGAAGAGTTCTATCAGAGCCGTGGTCCAAAGACCATCCTCTTGGATGTATTCTTCAGGCACCTGTTGGGTTCAGAAAGAGAAGCTACCCAGCTGCCAACATCACTGGTGGTTCCAGGCAGCCACACACACGGGCCCCCACATCCTAAAGCACATATTTTGGCAGGAAGTCAGCACAGCCTCCCTCCCAGTCCCTGTGGGATGCACAGGTTGATGGGAAGCTGCGTAAGGGATCCCAGTGGCCAGGGGTTTCCTAAGTGTGATTCCTGATCATCAATGTCACTGGTCCCTGTCCCCTGGAAACTTAGACTTGCACCCCAGTTGGCCCTGGGCTGGCCCCAGATTGCCCCTCCTAATCTTTTAACGCTCCCCACTGGTCACAACGGCAAGTTGTATAAGCAAAATCCCCATCTTCCCATGACTTTTAATGTCCGCTTCAACGAATAGTAAGTTTCCTTATCCATCTACCCTTTTAATCTATGCTTTATCCTGTGCTATTGATCCACTGGCCACTTGCTGTTTTAGTTATAGTAGTAGATAGTGTAATTAATTACAGCACTAAAATACAGGCATAATAAATAATTCAGTAAAATATATAAGTAATACAAATATATACTATAAATGTCTTATAATTATTAATATAGTATATAAAATAATACAGTATAATATAGTACTACTTAGAGTATATTAATATAAGTTTTTAAATATCTCTTGAGAAGCACCATTTCTCTCTGTACATGTATCTATTATAAAGTCTAATTGCTAAAAATCAACTATTTTAGTTACAAATTTTCTCTTTTCTAAAGAAAAATTGTTTCATATCTCTTGATCATTTTCCACTTTTGTTTTATTTCAGTACTGGGGATTGAACTCAAAGCCTTCACACTGAGCTTCTGAGCTTCTTCTCCAGCATTTTTGTTTCGTTTTGTTGGGTTGGGTTGGGTTTGGTGTAGTTGGATTTTTTTGTTTTGTGTTTTGTGGGGGGGTTTGGGGGGTTTTTTTGTTTTTTTTTTTGACACAAGTTCTCACTAAGTCACTGAGTTGCCAAATCTCTAACTCATGATCCTCCTCCTGCCTCAGCCTGACAGAGTTTTGGGATTACAGGTGTGCACAATTCCCAGCTTTGTTTTCCAATTTTATGTTACCTTT